AGAGAGAGAGAGAGAGAGAGAGAGAGAGAGAGAGAGAGAGAGAGAGAGAGAGTATTCAGTTATAATTATATAGATATACTTTTAAAAAATCACTTAGATACAGGTACAACATAAAAATATCTGAAGAATTTAAATATATTTTAGATGCTTCAAACAAAACAGAGAAAAGAACAGAAAAAGAAAACAATAAGCTGCATAAACAAATCTTATTTTACATGAAACTACTACTTATTATGTAGTACATACGAAGATGTTTAAGACTAATAAAAATTATAATCGTACATACGTGTCACTGCGATAGACTACTGTATATTTTATAAAATATCTTATTTGTTGGCTTTATTCTAATCTTTAAAGTTGTTTGTTTGACCATTATTTAAAATGAAAATTTAATCCTTTAATAAAGGCATAAATAAGTAAAAAAAGAACTTGGCCGATTACACATTTACTTGTTTTTAAAAAAAGAACTTAGTTTTACAGACTAAAAAAACTTAATTATAGTTCAACTTTTACTTTCCAACTTATAATGATAAAATTGTTAAGAGTACAAAACAATACTACTTACTAATGTGATAAATTATAATTTTCCTATAGCCAATCAACAGCCTTGTCGTACAATAAAAAACGGATGAATGTAATGTCTATTAGCCTTTGGCTGGAATAAGTGGTAACCTCGGTCATACGACAAAGAGATTTTAAGTTTCTTGATTGTCTAAACTGACAATCTAACACCTAAAAAAAAAATATTCTGCCTTTAACTTTAGCAGTTTAATGTTAATGTCAGAGTCCAAATAGCGCACATAATATTTATAAAATATTTACAAAATATTTGTAAATATTTTTGCAATTTTAGATTGCACAGATCATAAACATTCATATATTACAAATATTATGAAATATTTATTATAAATGATATAGTAAATGCTACGAAAATACTTAATGAAACGTTATAATTCGTAAGTAAAAAATACTTATTAAAAATATAATTTTAATATTTCGAATAGCTTATATATAAAATATATATAAAATATTTATAGAATATTTAAAGAAATATGAAATAGTAATAAATATATTTATCATAAATATTCTATATTATCAGAGAGGATTTTCGTATAAAAAAAAAAATCATAAAGTGCTGGATTTAAAATTGCAATCATCTTAATGCTAAAAGAATGTCTTGCATGTACTGACATGCACGCTACGATAGCTACGGGTCGTAAATGATAAACTTCTAACAAATAAGCGTGCTGCTAGTATCTTGTATAACCTTTTATTTCAAAAGATTATTATAATAGAACTTTCTGTATAAAAAAATTTATTTTGGATCATAGCTTATGTGATCTCTCATTTTTATAGATAAATACATGTTATAAATACACCCAATTCATGTAAGATTTTTTGTTTAGTTCTTGCTTATCGATAGAAAATTTTAAAACAGAGATCCGACAACTTCTCTTTCTTGCAGACAATCAATAGTAGATATCAATATAGGTTTGAAATGCTTGTTCGTACCACAAAAATGTAATATTAGCTTTTTCCTATGAGATTCTTAGTCGTCATTTACTAAATGCTATAAAGAACTAAAATCACCTATAGGCGATGAAGCACTTGCGCAACATTGAGAATTAGAGAAAAACGATAATTTATATAATAGTCAAATATATATAGCATATATATTAAGTTTAATATACATATAATAACATATAGAATATTTAAATTAATATTTTGTACCTAAACTTAAAAGATACACTGTACAAAAAAATACCTAGGTATAACGGGTATAGATATCTTGCCTATAAGAATCTATAGGTAATCTACTTATTAGATTAAATTAAATTTTTATAATTAAAGTATTTAGATATTGTATCTAAATATTTTTCCAGATCCAACACTATAGTTAAGTAAAAATCGATTAATGAAATAGAAAACGCACACGAATGGAAGACACTATATTTGATTAAGGTGGTTCGAGCTTCATACTTATAATAACATTTTTTGTGAATTTATACAATTCCTAATTTAAATAAAATAATATAATAATCGCAAAATACTGCAATAATTACAAAAGATGTAATAATAGCAGCACAAAAATTAAGAGTTTTGAAAAAGAGAGAGAGGTTGAAAGAAATAAAACTAAAAAAAAACGTAGAATAAGGAATACAGTTTATACAAAAATGACTTAAAAAAATTAACCGGCGGATTGCCCAATTCATGTTTGCATGAGCGGTAATGGCGTACAATTGACATAGTCATTACACTGAAAAAAAAGTATTTGATATTTCAGGTTTTTATGACTAGGTATACCTAATAGCATACAATATTATAATAAGGTTTTAAGATATATGACAGAAAGTAGAAGCTTTAGGAAACATGAAATTAAAATTATATAGAATATGTATAACAAAAAAGGTATGAATGGATAAATTAGATAAGCAAAATTGTAAACCAAAAGTCCCTTTCTTGGCTTTGTTAAAAACGCTGAAGTGAATATTTATTCTTTTAAAAATATTTTGTAGGTATATTATTTATTTTTTTAAGAATATTATATAAATATATTTTATACATCTCTCTCTATTTATTCTATTCTATACAATAGAGAGAGATGTATAAAATATATTTATATAATATTCTTAAAAAAATAAATAATATACCTATAAAATATTTTTGAATATTTATTACAAATATTGTGTATTGTCTACAATTACATATAGTAAGATAATTATAGACAATAACTCTGTTTTTATATTTATTACTGCTATAGTGTATGTGTGTTAATAATAATAATTATACGTATTTCAAGTTCTAACAAAAATTATATAATTAGCAAAAATGACCATAAATTATAACTAATTATGGTAATTACAGTTTCTTTTTTTTTAGAGAGAAAGAGAGAGAGAGAGAGGACATTCGAAGAAAGTAGTTTAATTCTGTCTTTCTTTAAAGAAAGAGTATATCGCTAATTAATTCGATGATGACGTCATTATGAGTAGAAAACATCCTCGAATCAGGAGAAGCAAACATTATTCGGTGTCATCAAAACGGATGTAAAAAATGACGATCGGTAACCAAGCTGAAAATTGTCGGCTCGAATTCACGTTTATCTTCGGTGACACCTTAGCAGTCGCGTGTGCGCACAGGATGTCGCGACAAACCTTAGCTTAATCATTAAAAAAGATGAGTCAAGCAAGAATTAACTTCGTTCCGATAAACAGGAAACGTCTCCAGGTCCCTTGAAGTTTGGCATATTCCAAGGAAGAGGGAAGTAGGAAAGAGCACCGTGGGGATTGTTATAATAAATTAATCGCATGTTTTGTATATATACAAATATATTATATGAACTTTCTATTTCCCGTCACGGGACTTTCGGGAAAGTGATGTAAAGGGGGCGAATTGTAAGTGCTACGATGTAATCATATATAATACACATAGTTTTGCGTGTTACAAGACGGACGTAACTTCTGACTAGTTGCGTCACATCTCATCGGTGCACGTAAGAGGCAAATGAGAGATACTTTTTTTTTATTCTACAGACGTAACGTCATGAAATAAAAATTCTAACACTGATTGGTCCCTCTTTTAAGTTGCGTCACGAGGAAATCACATAATGGCTTAATTAAGGGAAAAAGAAATGGGCTGTAATGAAGATTAAAATCGAATCTTGATGATTAAATAATTTTGTATATTAGAAAAGTACTGGTAAATGCTAATGTGTACAAAGTCGTTTATAAAATATTCAACTTACTTCCGCATCCATCGGTCGACCGCCACTTGCAACATCTAAGAGAATTATTAACTATATAGGATAGTCGCTCAAAATTACTACCAATTCCGTATTTTTAATGCTTTCTTCGATCTCTCTTACTTTTTTGATTGAAAACTTTTATTTACAGAGAAATATAAAATATTTTTACATTATAATATATTATTATAACATTATATAATAATATATAACAATATATAACGTAATAATATTATATTAAAATAATATACATTATAATATTATAATAATCTATAACATTATAATATTATAATTTATAAATATTATTATTATTATTTATATTATTTAATGTTATATTTTTTCTTAATTCTTAAGCCCCAGACACAATGCGAGGGAATAATACGATTTTAACCTGTTAAAAACTATATATTCCGGTGTATTTGATTTCTGATAGGTTGAAACCGTGTTATTTCTATCGCGCTATCGCTATTCTCTCGCATTGTGTTTGAAGCTTTGATCTAAAAAAATTCTTTTATGTCACTGTATAATAAATGTTCTAGTTGAATTATTTCTTTTTTCAAAAATTAATATTTAAAAGTCATCAAGTATAAAACAATTTTATAATTTGTCCATAATTTAAATCTACATAGTACTAATTACTACAAATTGATATATAGATTGAGCAAAATAGTTTTAAAAAATACAACAGATTCAATATACTTCTAAAAGACGTCTATTATAAGATGAGAAGAATTAATATAAATTATATAAATTAAAGGAATCGATTGTAATATATTCTGACATATTATCAAATTTGTAATTTAAAAATAAAATATTTTCTTAGCTCTTTCAAAATTTGGCACTTAATTCTTTCCCAACTTATTTCTAATTAGAACGATGTCTAAGTAATCAACAAGAAATTCTTTCTTCCACGTCTTGAAAAAATTTCACTTATACCTACCTAGAAATAATTATTTATAGCTAAGAGAAAATGAGGAAAAACGAAATACAATCAAGCGACTTTTTGATTACACAAGAACGATCGGTAATAATAACGTAACATTTATACTTTAGGCATAACGTGTCGTTATTTAACGTACGCAATATCACGGTTAGTTACTCGCTTACAAATTATTATGTGTGTGAATTCAAATGCAATTACAGAAAGAAAGTTTCAAAGTCCGCAATATTATATATGTATGTATCGAGAATCTTAATTCACGTGAGTTCACTCAATCGTGCGAAACCACGAGTCGATTACGTGTTTCATCGAATGTAAGTGATAGGACATCACCCGCAAAAATTACCGCTCGATTCTTCAATATATCCACGATCCGGAAGTAATGCACACAAAAATTTCATCATGCATTCAAGTCCGCAGACCGTAAACGTCATATTCGTGTCCAAGCTGGCTTTCACCAATAAAATTGGCTCTGTTCAATCTCTTTCCATAAATTATCAAAATTATGTCCTTTAATGAAGAATCGGTGTGAGAGTCAATCGATGATTAACCGAAGCGGAAACGCATTTCGAAAAATATTTACTCAGTATATATACTTGTTCGGTAGGAACTGATTCTGGTCTGAAAATTACTATAATATATAAGAATACTTTCCAATTGTAAAATTACTACATATTTTCGTGTACCTAGCAACACAAATTGTTTCAATTATCTTTGAACATAATATATCTATACAGTCCAAAGACTACTAAACAATTATATAAGCTTGTGTTTCTGACAATTACATGTTACTAATTGCGGTGACTATAAAGATATGAGATTGGAAGATATTGAATGGGTTGTATTTTTCCTTCTCATTCAATATAGGTGAAAAAAGGTACTTTTAACCTAACTCTATCCAAAACTATGCACAGCGTACACATTTATTCTATCTGAGTTGTGCACAATGCTACACTTTATTCATGTGTAAATTTGTATCAAAATGTATTAAGCAATTGGAAAACACTCATATAATAATTGAAACAATTACATACAATATATACAAAAAGAAAAAATACGCGTTGCAGTTGGACATTTATTATTTCAGTCGTAAAGTATATAAGAATTTCAGTCTTTTCGTCTTTTTAAGAAAATTGTATCAATTTTTATATCTAAGTTACATCCTACCGATTCGTTGAATATACGTGTTGGCCCTTTTACAACCGGCTCCATTTGACAACAGTCTCTTTTTAACAAAATCAAATTGTGTTTCGTTGAGCATCAACTTGCTCTTTTTCATTGCATCTATAATGCATTTCCTCAAGGCATTCTCATTCAAAGGTTCATAGAAAAAAATTTTAACTCCGACATTTTTGTTGAAAAAGGCTTTTTGTATTATAGCTGAATCGTTGGGTTGATTTTTTCTTTGCAACGTATAGTCAAACCTATTTTCGAAGTTGAAAATGGCCAGCACAGTCATGACGCGATTATTATATATGTCTTGACGGGCCTTTAGAAAGTTCACGACATCCATCATATCATAATATTTCAAATTTTCCAAAATGATTAGATTCGGATATAAGAAAGGAATGTCAATATCCTTCATGGCTTTTTTTAATGGCGGGAAATAATAACGAATAGCATACTTTCTCGAGAAATTCTCTCTTATGATATTTGCCGTGTATGATTTACCAACACCTGTGTCACCAAAGAGGACTATCACCTTGAAGAAAGGTACATCACTCTCAAGATATTCACAGAGTCTCTGCAAGTCGTAATGACCATAAACATGCTTCTTCAATTCAACAACGGCATTTGCAAAATCAGTGCTGTGTTTGTGAGTTCCCAGATTTTCATACATTATTACTGAGATAAAAGTCAAGAATATAATTAATAGTACAAACTTAAAACATTCGTATAAGGTAAAATTCTTTTTCGCTTTCAGCAGATGTTTACATTGTGGATTCTCGCGTTTATCGAAATTATCAGCAACAGAAATGGCAGATAAATTACGCAGAGTAATTGGACGAAGATTGTTTGATATATCATCATAATCCTTGCATTTTTTTGTAGGTGTCATATTGTCTTCGTTCACAAAATTCAAACTGTGCCTCTTTTCAGGTTGTTGTTTCTCAGATTTTATTTTCAATTTTGGACGCAAACTAGTCTTCTTTGAAAAAATAACAAATTTATTTGTAGCAGTCTCTTCTGGTTCATGTGCAGTATCTGATTGACTCATTGATTCTGCTTCAATTTCCAACTGATCTTTCATTGGTGTAGTGTTTCTTGTGAACGATCCTTCATTACATTGCATGCTCCAGTTCAAGTTTTCAATACCATGATTGTAATGTGGTAAAATCCATGGACTTGGGCAGTCATTCTTGACTTTCCGCATTTTATCTTGGAATCTCTCGCTATAAATAATATTTTATCAATTCCATTCAGCACTATATCTTTAAGTTATACTGACATTGTGTGTGTGTGTGTGTGTGTGTGTGCGCACGCCATGTTTAAATTAAATTCAGCATTAATTTTATAATTCAATGTATTACTACTGTGATAATTGTACACAGGAACCAGCCCTGCATTTATCATCTGCGATTTCATCATCTGAGTGCACACAGATGTGTTATCCTTATTTATCATTCGTAAACAAGGATAAAACAATATCTAGGTGCATCTGGACGACAATTTTGAACGCAGCCTTGATTATTTTGATATATGTTTTCCAAATTATGTCTTTGAGTGATCTTTAATAAAAGCCATTGCTTATTATTAGTTAAAAAGTTATTAATAAAATAAGTTTCATAAATATAAAATATTTACACATTGGTTTACAAGAAAAGTTCTGTGGTATTTTATTAGCTCAAAATAATATATTGTACATTTAAAAATCAGTGATTATACCATTCAATAGAGCGAAGTTTCAACTTCAAAAATTTGATTTTTTAATTGCAATACAATGATTTTTAATGGAGTTATAAGCAATTAAAAAATGTTCCTTCATTTAACTTGCACAAAAACCTTAGAAACAAAAAATTATAGGAACATTTTTAAAAACAAATTTTTTGGAAAAATTTTTAAGCTTTCACGTTAGATAATCGAAAATTTTCGCAAATTTTTTTTTTAGTACATGACAGATCCATAAAGTTAGAAGAAAATTTTCCTTTTTTTCAGCTTGTAATTTTGTATATATAAAAATTTTCAAATTTATATGAACTAAAAAAATAATAAACACCTTTTGAAAGTAGATTTCAAGCTTTAAAATCTTTTTTGTAAATTTAAATTTTGTTCATTTTTAACGAAGATATTGTATATACAATTTTGAGCTAACAAAGAGAACTTTCCCCCCTTCAACCTAATACATATAACTATATTTATTTTCCATGACTAGTCTATACTTTCCTCTACTTGCAAAATGTTAGACACATTTATATTGTCAATTTTATTTGTTAACAATTAAGTCTAACACTTTTTGGTAGAAAAGAAGTGTTGAATGGATCTCATTTCATATAAAATATCTTTATCCAGTTGTAGCACTAAAGAAGAGCATTATATAAATTATACACAGTAGAATATATGAAGAGAATATATAATAAAGTATATACCTTGTGTTCAAAAATTATGTTTTACTTATAAAAATTGTTTTGTTAATAATTTCTTAATGAATAAATGAACGACGGCTAAAACTTGAAGATTATTCAGAGTTATGACAACATATATCAAAGTCAAAGTTAAAGGGGCGGATTCTTCACAATTGTCAAATTAAAAAAGTACCTTAATTCTTCTTTACTCCCATATAATTCGTTGCTGTATGGTTTGATTAAAGTTTGCGAATCGTCGCTCGTGTCATATTCGAACGATTGCTCGTTGAGTGACAGCGATCCAGGAAAAGTATTTGATCTGACTCGTTCCGTCTCAGAGGGATAAAGACGATAAACTTTCCAAATATTTTTGAAATCTTTATCCTCCTCCATAGTATTTTGCAGAAGATCTAAGGTTTCCTGCGAAAAAGACACGGCAATAAGATATAACCTACAAACTATAATTAAAAGCACGTTTATATCTGTTCTTCGTTTTTGCCTCGTAAATCGGAACATTCCAAAAGATCTTTAGTCGAAGAATTTATCTGATATTTATTTTTTTACCTCTGTACTTGAGCAAAATTGACCAAAGTATTCGAAAATCAGGATATCATACTCGAGAGAGTATCAACACATAAATAAATTGAAACTTGGGATTATTCGGGAGCGATCAATCCTTTTTCAACTCGTATTCGAAACGCAACTATCGCAAGCGTCGCAACTGAAATGTGAATCGATTAACTGACATATGGCTGATAGTTACAAAAATTCCAAACGTGCTACAACGTGCTAATTCACCTCGTCCTAGCCATACGGTTTACGATGTGGCGCCTGTTTACCTACAACGACATCGCAACTGGCGCCATCAATTGGCGACCTAGCGCGACCGCTAGTTACACATAAGCATGCCCATATCCATGTGCGACAAGGCATAAAGCGGGGAGCACAGACTTTTGCATAACGCATAAACCATATACATAAAGAATTTGATTGGTCCATTGACTCATGCATAAGAAAATGGACCAATGAAATTCCTTATGCACATGCTTTATGCGTTACGCAAAAGTCTGTGCTCCCCGCTTAAGCGTACGGGGAGTTAGAAGCATTACAAGAAAAAGGCCTCCATGGCCGCTCTCAGGTTTCTCTCTGCTTGTATTCAAAACGCGAATACGCGATGCCAGAACGATCTAGTTCTAGTATCTATCATTTCGAATTGTAATGAATGAAAAAATTATTGAAAGATCCTCAACCATCCAATTAATCATCATTGAATTACACGTATCTCACAGCATTTAAATGTTTTTTTTTTTTTAATATAAAAGTCAAAGTGGAAAGGTCAAAGGTGTCCGTTTTTTTGCTACACTAGCTTGTACTATATGCACTCGCGGACCAAACGGTGTAATTATAATAAAGCAAATACGCCCGAAAAGGAAAGAATAAGCTATATAAACTATCGAGTGTCGCCGTTTCCCGGAACAAGATATTTTTTTCTTGGAATTTTTATGTAAATTTCAGAAAATTTTAAATAAAATTAAAAATTTTTTTAATAAATTTATATTTTTTTAAGAAAATTTTTTAAATTGTTTATATAAATTGGAATAATATACTTTTCAGAATAAGAAATCGACATGTTTTCTAAGATTCTTATCATATATATATATAAATGCTAAAATATTCTTAGATTTCTAAAGTTTTCATTCTAAAATTTTTGATAAAATTTTAAAAAGCCTAAAAAATGATTAATGTAATTTTTCGAAATATAAAATAAGTATGTGAAAATATGTAGAGTAAGAAATCTTATTGTTAGAACATATTAGAATAGAGACATAATACAAAATTCTAAGAAAGGTTGAAATATTTTCAATATTTCCGGAAGGATGGTCCAATTTGCATAAGAATTCTGGAAAAAAAATTTTCACTAGGACCGGCCCTGACGGTCGCAATGAAATCAAAGCTACATTTCGATAATCATTGTCGATATTAAAAATCTATAATGTACGTAACGTATACTATAGATTTTCAGTCCACAGCGACAATATCAAAACAAAGTCCGTGATGCGACTATAGGATTTGCACAAAAAAAGAGAATAACTGTTTGACGTTCTTTTGATCGACCAGAACAGCGCGCTGAGCCTAAAAATTCAGGCGCACGCAGTTCAATTCACGTGTTCCTTCGGTTTTACTCCTGGCAGAACAACAGATCACGCTAACGTCAAAATAACGTTAAAATAAATCGCGATTGATCGAGAAGTGACTTTTATAACGACTTTTTCGAGCCACTTTAGTTTCATTTTAACGTCATCGTGACGTCTTAATTGTTCTTTTTGACTATACAATACTGCGGATCGCGCGAAGTGTTAGCGGTCCAGTCCAGTGATTCCGGTCGTGCCAGTCAACCGAGATACCACCTCAGTTCCTGCTCGTGTATCGACGAGTAAAGGCGAAGCGTTTTTGTGACGCGGCGCGCGCCGACTTTTCTTGTGATGTGACACCCGGTGTAGGGATCAACGGTGTTGAAGCGAGAAGAGCCGAGAAAAGAAAATGCAGCGGTCCAGTGCGGTTGCCCTAGCGCGCGTTTGCCTGTCACTTCTGCTACTGGTGGCCGTGGCAAGCGCGAGGATCCACAAACTGGACATACGGGTTGGTTACGTCTTCCAGACACGGCGCCGTCCGTCATTATCATTATCACGCGCCCTGATTGCTACTTGGAGAAAGAAAGTGACACGCGCGAGCCCGCGGTAGCGCTCCGTAACGCGTCCACGAGTTTATCGAGTCATTTTATCGATGAATGGCCGATTTTCACGCGCGGCACAGAATAGGTCCTGCGGGACGGGAAAATCGAAGGACATTGCGATACGCACATACATATAACGGCCATACGAACCCGTTGGGAAACGAGCGGTATTATCGACAAAATCGTGCGCGCGTCGATAATTCTGGAACGTATATTACGCTGCTGTACGTAGTTTACATCATGATTGTCGGTTCTATCAATCGTGCGATTGTATAAATGACGATAGACAGCTGATAGATGCGTCTGACTGACGCTTACGCAAGGTTCTTTCCGAAGTAAGAATCGTCCTAGGCATAAATTGACGTTTTTTGTCTGGGATAGAAAAAATCCTTTGTACTCGTCATTGTCAGAGAAAAATGTAGTAGTAGCAATTATCCATACAACACACAATATTTACCAGATTTATTTGAAATATTTTTGTAATCTTAGATTTTATTGTGTCTTAGATGGTACAAATCTTAAACATTTATTACAAATATTAATACAATATTTATTGTAAGTGTTACAGTAAATGCTGTGGAAATACTATTAATGAGATATTATAATCCAAGTAAAAAATATTTATTAAAAAAATATTTATCTATTTATATTTATCGTAAATATTATAATATATAAAATATTTATATTACATTTCAGAAAATGAATAGTGATAAATATTTATTATAAATATTCTGGGCTGCCTGGGTACAAAGGTGATATTACACAAATTTATATATGAACATTTATATATATAAAATTAATGCATATTAATTGATTAGTTAAGCAAAGTATTTTATAATAATTGCAGTTATATAATAGTTTATTTAACTATGTACTGTGTTGCGTTAATTTTTTACATTAAAACTTATAGTTGTTGCTTTTACTACTATTATTTTTTTCTCTGAGTGTGTAGAGAATTCTTTCAAACCACAACTATCCGAAATAATAAACCGATGTTTTTTGTCTAAGATAATCGTAGAAAAAATCCTTTGTACTTCGAAAAAAATATGCATAGTGGTAGCAACTATAAAGATGATAACTACGCTAAGTTTTATATGTAAAATTAATGTACAAATTCTAAATAAATGTACATACATTAATTCTAGTTAAATATACTATTTTAAAATAATTACTTTATCTGAAACAGTTTTTAACCAGGCACATATTAATTCTACATATAAAACTTCTATAATTGTTATCTTTCTATAGTTGCTACCATTGTTTATCTTTAAATGCAGAAGATTCCTTCAAACAACAAATTATTTTACTCTTGACAAGATTTATATACATATAGAATTAGTGTACATAATCAAATTATTTTGTTTTTGCAATTAGAGTTATTTCTTATTTTTGATTATTTCGAAGTTTCGAAAGAATTCAAATCATCGAAAAATATATTTGTGTTAATATAAAATAATGAATATATATTCATGAAGATATTCGTATATTTTTAAAGAAAATGTATTTGTTACTATCATTCACTACATTAAATTAATTATTATATTTTAATTTGAAGTTTTAAAGATTGAAGTTTCAAAATTTTGAAAGTTCAAAGCTGTAAAACGTTAAAATTTTGATTATAAGTCTTCAAAGTTTAAATATCGAGGTTTTTTAAGCAAATCGCCAGATTTCATTCCAATAACTATAAAATAGTTTATTCGACTATGTACATTAATTTTATATACAAAATTTGTACAATTATTACTTATAGTTGTCACTTACATTTTTTTCTCTGAGTATAATGTAGACAATCGCGATGCACGTTGTTACGAATTACTCTTAATTTGTGCGGTTACGACGGCGTAGTGTTTCTAGAAAAATTTTTCAGAGGTTTTCTCATGTAGAGAGGAAAACTGAAGAACATTGACGTGCGATTCGTCCTACCTTTCGCACAAACCTGTTTCTTTTCGGAGCAACGATCCTTTGGTTCTCTTGCTCTCCCTTCCCATTCTTAGCACTTGGCGGAATGCGTTCTCGCTCACGGAAATGTTATTTGTATTTCAGAAGGACGGCAGGCACTACATCACCCTGAGCACATTTGGTTTTTACAAGGGCGGTATTCTGACCGTGAATCTCACGAACTTCAAGTTCGAGTCGGCGGATGTCAACAAAAAGCTGACACCGGAAAGCGCGAGCAAGGCCGTGGTGAGTCGCTAATAATAATTGGCCTGTAATTTCCGCAAACTAAATACGTACATATCTCGGTGCATCTGCGGTACACTGAAGTCATTTGAATTTCAAGAAATTTGCAAGAAATTTTGAAGGCAACGTTTTTTTTTTTTTTTTTTAGAAAATGTTGCAGAAACAAGAATTGTCCTGTGACTGTAAATGCAAAGAAATCAATTCTGCAATAGTTGCAATGCTTTTAGTTTTGATGCAACATTTTGCAATATTGGTTCAGAATTAACGATAATTTTTCATTACAATATTAGTAACTTTAGGCATCAATTGTGAGGTAGTGACGTTGCAACAATGCGATACATCGCTCTGTTGTGCAGCAACAGACACCTGTTTCTGTCTTCTGTACTCACGAGGAGAGCCACCCGCGTTTATAAATAAGTGCGCGAGTATGCGGATGTATCATCGCCTTGTTAGACTCGTGAGTGACTTGGTCAGGCTTGTAGCACAAAACGTAAACTGGCGTATGAAACCAGCTGTCACTTGTTTCGTACTGCATGTCGTCATTGATTTATTATCTCTGAAGTAGTATAATCCCTTTAAATCATTGCGTTATCTATTTTTGTGCGAAAAAAATCCTCATTTTTCTTTATCTATAATTTTATGACTTAATTTATACATCGTTTTATTAAAATATAATAGAGAACGCGTTATCTTTTTAGCAAAATAAAAAAAATCAAATGTAATATCGCG